TGGGGCACCTGCAGGGTGGAGTTCATCCTGCTGGGACTGCTGAGGTTTGTCGGGCCTTGAGTGGCTGAAGAGGAGAGAGGATTGAGATACGAGAGAAACACCTATGCAGACACGAGGTCAGTGAAGATGGAGCAGGAGGAGATGTGCTGGAGCTGAGGTTCCCCTGCAGCCCATGGTGAGACAGCAGCGGCCCCCTGCAGCCATGAGAGACATGGTGGAGTAGAGACCCACCCATGGCCTGTGGGAGAGGAACCCACACTAGAGCAGAGATGGCTGTGCCCAGACTGTAGAGGACTGTCTCTGTGGGAAGGACCTCCACACTGCTGTAGACTGACAGTGGAGCAAAGATGCATCTGCAGTCCATGGGAAGGGACTCCATGCTGGAGTGCCTGGCTGCACCCTAAGAAGCTGTGACTCTGGGAAAAGCCTGCGCTGGAGCAGTCTGATGGGTAAGGATTGCATGCTGTGGGAAGGACTCATGTTGGAGAAGTTTGTGGAGAGCTGTGTCCTGTGGGAAGGGGTCCCACGCTGGAGCAGGGGACAAGTGTAATGGAGGACTCCCTCTTTAAGGAAAGAGCAGCAGAAACAACATTGACAAACTGACCTGCACCCCCACCACTGCTCAGGGCAGGGGGAAGGTAGAGCTGAGAAGAATGGGGCAGAGGGGGGAAGATTTTTTTAATATCTGGCTTTGCTTGTCATTATCCTCTCTGAAGAGACTGTTAGCAAATTAAATTGATTTGTCTCTAAATTCAGTCTGTGTTGTTGGGGGCCATGGTTGGTGGGTGATCCCACCCTGTTCTTATCTCTACCCTCAGGCCTTTAGTTACATTTTTCTCTTCACCTCACCTCACCGGTGGCAGGGAGTGAGCGAGCAGCTGTGTGGTAGCTGCTGGCTGGGCTAAACCACAGCAGAGGGTGACTGAGTACTGGAACTGGTTGCTCAGACAATGGAGTCTTCATCATGCACGTGTTTTCCTTGATAATCTAGACAAAATTCTCTATGGGGAGTCTGAAAGGGGCTGAGCTTTAAATGTAAAGAATATACTACATGAGTACAATGGAGACATTCAAAGAAATCTTGCATACTATAGCAGTAAAGAAAAACAAGCTCTCAGCCACGTACTAAGCAAGCTCCTGTTTATTCCAACACTTTCAAATGAACACTGCAGATCCAAGAGTAGGAAGGAGGTGCACTGACACCCAAAACACATCCATTTCACCATGACTGAAACAGAAAACAAAGCAGCAATGCAAACATGTTCCAGAACAAAGACAGTAACAGTCCCCCACCCCTAACTGTTGACTCTCGATTCCAGACTCTGGTACTGGTTAAGTCTGTCATCCAATACGCCCAAAACATAAACTATTGTCTTCCCTCTAAGTCTTCTAACAGGATGCTAGGTGTGTGCCCAGCATCAGCTTTTTATCTATTTCTTTACTGCTCTACATTCATTCCATCTACTCTTATGAAAAGGATATCACAGAACAATACTTAAGGTCAAGAAATTGAGATGTGAATATACAGTTTCACTATTTCAAGATTCAAAAGTGTTGAGAACGTTATAAACATTGATTAGAAGAGTGCTTATTAAATGGGAGGGAAAATGACTACTTAACATAGAGTGGGTCAGCCAATTTGAAAATCCAAGTCTCCAGTATTCTCTGTAGACAACACATACAGTAAAGCTTTTCATGTAAAATATTCCGTGTTTGACTGGATGCATGGATATACATATGTTTTCATGGATCTGACTGAGAAGAACTGGCACGGGTCATTGAGATCAAATGCTGAAAATGAAGAAAAACAATTAATTTTGATTGTTTGGGCAGAGTACAGTGCCACATATCAAGTTACCTTCAGTTACTAGCAGCAGAAGCTCTTTCTGTTATATTGTCTCAGGGCTCTTTGTTTCAGTACCTGTTATTTCTTAAAGCTATACCGGGGGCTTCAGTCATGTGTACATAAAGAAATTTGATTTTTTCAACAGAGGTTTTTTCAATAAAAGAGTGGAAGGGTAGACAGAAGGGATTTTGAAAAAAAAAAAAATTCTAGTTGTCAATGTTACTGACAGTTTAGACTCTATTTACAACTTCTGAACTCATACCTTCGCAACAGTATGAATTTGTAGTTGATATTCCCTGTACTTACGTGTCACTCATCCAAATCTGCAAGTCCCATTTCTATCAGTTTCATATGAACTAGATTTTTGTCATCTTCATACAAAGAAATGGTGACCTCTGGCGAAAGAGCCTGAAAACCAGAAGTTGACAGTTTTGACAGTAACAGATTTAAATCTCAAGCTAACCAACAGTAAAAGTTATTTTACTAGCTATACTCACTGCCTAAATAGAACTGTGAATATACAAAGAATATTTCTGTTTTTAAGTACAGGAAAATGGTTTTAAAGTAACAGGAATGCTCAGAAACATTTTTTTGTAGATTAAGAAGAGTGCCAGATGATTTTTTCTCTTCACCAGCATTCCTTCATGGTAAATGGTCCACGATTTTGAATTATGAGGGTTCACAGTAAAACAAATACTCAGAAATTATACTCATTGACTGCTAGTAAAAATTTTAGGCAGAGTAAGAAGCAGGAGAGGAAAAAAAAGGCATTTCTCACAAGCATGGAAGCCGAGAGCTGTTTTCCTTCAACGCACTCCATCATAGCCCACAATGCTTCCACACTCCATTCTGGGGAATAAGGAACTCTTTTCACGTTTTCTTCATATAAAGCAGGTTTAAATCCAGCCAACAGAGCTCGTACTGCCTGAACAGGATACTTCAGCAGATGATAAGGTATTTGACGCAATCTGAAAAAAAAAAAGAGAAAAATGTTTGCCTGCAACAATCCACCTGCCAAGCTACAGTCAGTATGGACATAAGGGCCACTTAATGGTTCATGCACTAGAGTTATGGTGTGGAAACTGGGATCAGAGTCCCTGCTCTACAATAACGTGCCTGTGTCAGACCAAGTAATTCACCAGGAAGGGCTAGGCCCTCTGAAGGACATCAGCACAGTGGCTCTCCAGCAGCAGGCCAGTAGTACCATCCAGACCCCTCAGCCTGCCAGGCACGCTGGCTGGCTCCCCATTACAGTGCTTGGGGAGGAGGTTCTAGTGCCTAACACAGATTTGAGCAACTCTGAAATAAAACACACACCCTCTCCCATGACCCTAACAGTCCGTGAAGCAGGAAATCTGTTCAAATCCCCATTCCACCTCATCTTCAGTAAGGACCTGTAGATTCCTCAATGAGCTCAAGAGCAAGTCAGTGTGACTAAGCAGTATACATATAAAGTGAAAGTGCTTCAAGAGAGAAAATTCAGACAAGCTTAGGAGACTCTAAAAGCCTGGGATGTTTGAGACACTTGGCTGACACCTGTGTGTTAGCACAACAGCAGCTCCTAGAGCAGCTCAGCACGAGGCAGAACAGGGATTTGAAATTTGATTTTCCATGCAAGCAGAGCGAGGTGTGTCCCACTCAGATACTCCCTTATCTTATTCCCCAGCTGACTTGTGCACAGACTGCAGTCGCACAGGACCAGAGGATTTGTTTGTACACTTGGAGGGCTCAGTCCCTATTTTGTGTAAGCTTCTTGGGTGCGAAAGCAGATTATAAGCCTGAGCCGACTTCACAGGTTAAATAACCTAAAGACGATGGAGAAATCTGATACTATAATAATGGACCTCTCAGAACAACCTGAGAAGGAGAAGCAGGTGCACAACCTCACACCCTGTAGATAGAAATTATTTAACCAGCCAACCAACTTTCCCTCCAGCTGCAATCTAATGCTAAATTATTATAAATTGTATCTCTATAGTTATATAAAAATAGGTAATAATAAAGACACATACACTTAACTTACATACTTCATAACATCAGTGTATACATACATACATACACACACAGACATTTTACATGCATTTTTTTCTTATGTATTTACCTGCTTGTTGGGACAACTGAAAAATTACCATAGTCAACAAACTGAACCAGGATCTTAAAGGGGTCAAATTCTTCAACGGAAAGAAGCTTTGCTCTATACCATAAACCATCCTGGTATTCTACAAGGCAAGGCATTTCTGCAAAAAAAAAAAAAAGCCACAAAACACCCCAAAATATACTCACAGTGCAGTACAAACTAACTGAACTTGAAAAATTCTTTTTACTTTGTGACTGAGATTAAGTTTTTTCTTCCTTCCCTAATTCATGCTACTTTTTTGTTCTATGCATCCTCCAATTCTCTCTGAACTCCAATTCACAACCATTAGTATGCAATTTAAGTCAAGTTTCTCTACCTCACATGGCAATGTTGAGAATTAACAGAAAATTGCTTGGTAAAGATAGTGATCCAAACTGCTTAACGTTTCAACTTTTCAACTTTGACTCACTTGCACATTTCAGTTACTAACAGATTCATTCGTAAGAGAATAGACAACAGTCTGGAGTACACAAGGCAGACTGCAGATTTTAGGCAGATGCAGCCTAAAATCTCAACCAGAATTTTACTAGTTGGCAGAACCATGGACTAGCGATAACTGGTTGCTTTGCAAAGTTCTAGACCCATATACTTCGTATTATTTTAGGCCCAACAGCTGCAGACAAGAGAATTAGAGCCCATCTTTTGCCTAGACGGAGAAATCCAGAATTAAAGTGAAGTGATGCTCTTCAGGGTTCACATCATTTGTAACTCTTGGTAACATGATTTTCCGTACATAACTCGTGTCTTTTGATATTTAATAGCAAGATTTTCACTGTTACAGCTTCGGTGACAATCGCCTTCAGGGAAAAGTTTTATTTTTGCCATATTTTGCCACATCAACTTTAAGAGGCATCAAAAGTCAGAGTTCTTTCCATCATTTTCCAGTGGAGCAAAATGACACAGAAGTCTCCATTTCATGAAAAGTAAAAGCATATGATTATAGAAGAATCATTTAGGTTGGAAAAGACCTTTAAGATCAACAAATCCAACCGTTAACCCAACGCTGCCAAGGCCACCACTAAACCATGTCCCTAAGCGCCATCTACATGTCTGTTAAACACCTCCAGGGATGGTGACTCAACCACTTCCCTGGGCAGCCTGTTCCAATGCTTGACAGCCCTTTTCGTGAACAAATTTTTCCTAATACCCAAACTAAACCTCCCCTGGCATAACCTGAGGCCATTTCCTCTTCCCCTGTCACTTGTAAATTGGGAGAAGAGACCGACACCCATTTTCAAGTAGTTGTAGAGAGTGGTAAGGTCTGCCCTCAGCCTCCTTTTTTAACACTCCTGATTATAGTGTATCATATCATTATAGTGTAGTGTCGTTACTCCTTACTCTCCAAAAGTTTTATTCAAAGATACATAAAATATAATTATTCCTATTCTTCAGAAATTATTTCAGGCTTTTCGTACATCCATACGAAACAACAGGGAAAATGAACACACTAATATACCTGTTTGGAAGTGTGTCAGAAGAGGAAGGGACTTCACACTTTTATTGCACCATTTCAGGGCTTCATCAAGGTTCTTCAACGCCGAGTCACAGGTGGCATCTCCCTCTACGATAGGCTGCTTCATAAGGTTCTTCGAAGGATCAAGGCAAATATATACCTACTCAAAGAAAAGGCTCTCATATTACAATTTTTGCAGACGACTTAGAACCTTCAAATTCCATCAGTTATCGAGGATTATTAGAAGATTACTTGTTCCCATCTTTGAAAGGTTCAGTATATCTTTGCTCCTCTTTCTTATTTCCTCAATTTATGAATAATTTCATATTTACACAATTTTTTTTTCAAAAAGCAGAAGAGAATCATCATTTATTAACACCACATTTCAGTGTTAAAAAGTAAGAGGAAAGGAATGCACATACAAGAGGGTATACCCATAGAAGATTTCACAACTGTGTCTTATTAGGATTCCTCCCTCCTGCTACTTGGTAAATAATCGCACTTCACATCGAACCAAAGATTAATTTTAAAGTTAATGAAAGAAGAAGTTTTGAAATGGTGTTTTGTTTGCTATGCGAAGACATTCCATTCGCCTAATTTATAATTGGATCATCAGTGTAACACTGTAGGTCAAAGAAATGAAAGTCTGAACAACATGCACAGGCGAACTGAAATCTACGTAACAGCTTCTAACTGAAATGCCTTTTTTTTTTTAAACAGAGTCATTTCAGAAGATTATGATATTTTACTGATAATCCAAACCAATTAATGAGTATGTTATTATTTTTCTAAACTCAGCATTATAATTCACTAGCCAGGAAGAAAATTAGTTTTAATTTTCTAATTTGTACACAATATAATCAAGCAGCAACTCCATGCAACTGCTACTAAAATCTATAAGAGTCCTGAGCAAGACCTAGTGTTTACAGCTATATAGCATGTTCAAAAGCAACAGTTCAAATCATTTGCACAAAATGAACCAAAAAATATTCATTATAATGTTTCTCCTGTAAGAGTGGAAGCAGAATATACAATTTAAAAAAAGCCCTTTTCTAAGATACTCAAACACTTCCATCTTCTGTTTAGTCAAAACAGTTGTATAGGTACACTGAGCATCTGTTTTTTTGAACATGTGTATACTCAAGTGAATTAATGGGGTGAGTTTACATTAGACCATGATGCTGAATTTGAAACAATCACTTCAGTACTATAAAACCCGTTATTTCGTTTATAGATTTACCAAAACAACGACACAAGCATGTCAGTATAATTCAATCCACTTCGAAGATGTTAGCTTTTGTAAGACGATCAGCTTCTTGCTGCTTCCTGTTCTCCTTTTTCATCATTCAACATTCAAAGTCCACAGAGGAATCTTTTATTTGACCAATGAACGTTACACTCTGCTTTTTGCCTGGGAGACTATACTAAACAGAAGCTGTGTGTGTTTACACAAAAATCAATGATCAATCACCGACCAGAGGCAGTAAATGCAACTGTAACAGCCAGAAAATGTTCACATTACTGTACAACGTTCCAGTTAATTTAATTTTTGGAGAATAAAGAAGAGATAAATCACTATTGCTCTACCAAGTTAAAATTCAATGATCTGTTTTCTTATTATACAAGGTAAGTACCAGACTGCAGTGTTGTAATTCTTAAAATTCATTTTTTTAGGGAAATGGTCAGAATTTCTTTCTCTGTCCCCTCCCAATAGGGTATTTCAAGTAAGAGTTCATAGAGATAGTTGCACTGCACGACCATCTGTATCAATAACTCAGTAGCATTTTGCAACCTTACTAATACTTTTTTGTATAATCTAAAATTGTTAGCCATTATTTCCTTTTCACCAGCATGACGCAACTGCAACGTTTCCTGTCTGCAACATATATGAGATGCTTACAAAACATACCTCCTTCGGGGACACCAAATGGGTAACTCTGACAGAAAAGGTATCTCCTGGAACAGGTAGCGGTGGCAAAGTGTATGAAGACGCAACATGGACATTTCCTTCAAGTAGCTCCTGGACCAAAACAGACTTTAGTCAAGCATGATATTTAGTAACAAAACGCAAACTAACTTTTGTATGATTTCTGGTTCAAAGGAGTTATCTAATAGTGTAAACAGAGTGTCCTTGATGAAAAAAACACTAATCAGCATTTCAATACTTACTAGGTTTTTAAAAAAGCTTTAGCTAAAACATAACAGAACAGAACTAGTTAATTAACACTTTTAAAATATAAAGAATGTATCTTTGAAATGGTCCTAACACAGACTTGCTAACTTGACTGCTGTTAATTCAAAAATGCATTAAATATGAAATTCCCTTCAAAGAGAGAAAATATTTAGAAAGAAAACCTAAAATAATAGCATTTAATTAACCTGAATACCATGCTCAATGCTACTGCAGTTTGCCAGAGCATTATCCCTTAAGAGGAAGGCAAAGGATAATTTAATTCCTTAGTCACCAGAATTGTCCTTCTTTCAGAAAACTAACAGATTTTGCAAAGTACACATACTTATTGTCTCACCAGCATAGCATGCTCCAGTGTGTCTTCTTCTAGAACCACGTATTTTACAGTTTGAGTTCTAGATGCCATTAACTCATTTGGTTCATGACAAAATAAAACTTGGTGCATTAAATTATGCCTTTATAAGGATATATAGCTCAGCTGGATCATATGTCATGAATATAGCTCCTATTCTCTCTTGTACTTCAATATGATACATAACAAAATGTACAATTTCCCTAAAATATGTTCTATTTTTAAACATTTATTTGATGAAGTTTTTGTTATGCCCAGAACAAAAAGAAAAGTGGAAGCAAACAGATACATACAACTGCAAAATAAAACAATAAATTCTGACCCTTTCTTCCCCCTGCATGATCTGACATAGGATACAGTATAAATAATCATTATGTTCCTCGGACTTAACTAGGAAAATACAGCTTTTCCATTGAAAGTATGTACTCTTAAGATTAAAAAAACCCCTCTATCTTGATAAATACTAGTAAAGAAAGGATGTCTGACTATATCATAGATACATACAAATGAAATGCCAGATTTCTGCAACAATCAGGAACATTATGACAGGCCACCTGACTACACCTGCCTCTAAAGACTCAGCTTAAATTCCAGCTCATTCCCCACACAGCTCAGCTGGGTATCTTAGTCATCTCTTGTGCATGTCTTTGAAAGAAAAACTGCATTTGCATTTTTCTTGCTAATGTTGATAGCCTTTTCTTATTGTCAGTAGATTGGTTACTGCTAGATCTACCACACTTAGGCATAGACAGTTTGGTTGCAGATACTGATACTAATAAGATGTTCTACCAAGACATACTCGGCACTGGTGAGGCCGCACCTGGAATATTGCGTCCAGTTTTGGGCCCCTCGCTTTAAGAGAGATATTGAGCTCCTGGAGCGAGTCCAAAGAAGGGCGACTAAACTGGTCAAGGGGCTGGAAAATAAAACTTATGAGGAGCAGCTAAGGGAGTTGGGGCTGTTTAGCCTGGAGAAGAGGAGGCTGAGGGGAGACCTGATTACAGCCTACAAATACTTGAGAAGGGATGGTGGGGAGGTAGGGGAAGGGCTCTTTACATTAGTGATGAGCGACAGAACAAGAGGAAATGGGTATAAGCTTAGTCAGGGGAGACTCAGGTTGGATGTTAGGAAGTATTTCTTCTCTGAAAGGGTTGTCAGCCACTGGAATAGGCTGCCCAGGGAGGTGGTTGAGTCCCCATCCCTGGATGTGTTTAAGAATAGGATGGACGAACTACTTAGGGATATGGTTTAATGGGGATTAGGGACGGTTGCACTGGATGATCTCTAAGGTCTTTTCCAACCTAGAAATCTATGAAATCTATGAAATCTATGACATCTTCAGGAGTTACTAATTTTAAACAGCTGTGCCCCATCCTTTCTGCCTTTGTGTCTATTCTTTAAAAATCTAGAAATGGCTTACATTCCTTATTGCATCTGTAAAGCCATAGCAGAAATGATGTATTTTAAATATATAATTTACACATCACACAATACTGTATACTTAGTAAGGCAACACGAGAGTGGTTATCAGCATGAAGAATTTAATCCAAACTAAGTAGATGGTTGGCTGCAGTGCGGTGTTATGTTGTACTTCTTTCTCTACCACATGCAAAGCTTTTTTTATGAACGGCCTACATAAGCCCACTCAGTAGTGTGAGGTAATTAAAGACATCTTTAGGACCATGAAGACCAAAGTGATAGTCTGGCAAGTCTCATATTTCCCTGGACAGGATATCTTAGACTTTATATTCACAAAAGGAAAGCAGAATGGGCTTCCTGTCTGGGTGTTTTCAGAATGCTTCCCCCCTAGTCTTCTTGCAAACATCAGTGACAGAACACTTGGTGTCAGAGATGGTGGCCTTCAACCCACATGGCAGCCCTTCAACTTATGTCCACAGTCCTTTGACACACCACTCTTCATCCAAGCCTGTCCTCTTACATCCCTAACAGGGAAACAATAGCTTAGGGTATCTGGCAGGTCTTTTAGTCATATAGATCACTGGTGTGAGAGGTAATTAATTGCCTATTTAAAAGTGAGGGAACAGGGACAGGAGGAGTAAGCCTTCCTGCAAGCTGAAGTCCCAAACCACAGAGCGATGGCAGTGCTAGAATTTGTCATGATGCATGCAGTACTGGAACACCAACTCGCAGTATCTGCTCTCATCAATCATGGAAGTCCATGCAGAATTAGAGGAGGAATTAGTCTTGTATAAGCTGCTGCTTCTGCCTAAAGATTTCTCTCTCTGCCTGAAAGGACACTGCTCTCTCCCTCAAACTGCTGGCAGGCTGAACAGCTCCTGGTGATGCCGAAACTGTTGAGATAACAAGTCAGTAACATCAAAAATGCTTTGCATGAAGTCTTTTCAGCATTGTCTTTGCTGTCCTTCAGAAGGCAGGTGCTAATTGAACGAATAAGGCTAATATGTAATCAGCAGGTTGAAGTGCATCTCTCCGTTGGCATTTCCAGGGGTAGATTAACAGTAACAGTCAGGCCGAGTGTTTGCTCAGATTATGGGCTTAAAATCTGCAGTCTTCAACTACCTCACTGTAAAGGGGCTGATATGCAATGCCGTTAAATACAAAAATAGTCTGAATAAGAAATTTTGAACTGATTTTGGTTTAGATGGTTGGAAATGGTTTGTAGTCAACTGCTGTAAGAAAAGTAATTCTAAAAATTACTGTTAGTTAAGCCTGAGCTCAGAGCAAAGAAGATTAACTATCTGTCTGCCAAGTGAAGCAAGCTCATAGTCCCCCATGACTGAATATATCAGCACAAGGCAGCACCTTGCTACTCAGTTCTAACTCAGAATGGTAGAGAAACAAACAAAATCAAACAAACCTCATCTCCCAAAAAGTCAAATCAAAAAATACCACAGTATAACAGTATCTTTAGGTAAGTATGCAAGCGCGTCTATATATAGGCACACGAACACACTTATATGTACACATACTCCTGGAATGAGATATACTGCTGTAAGCTCACCGCGCTTGGCGTTCTGGTGTACTTTCCAAAATTCGACTGCCTACTAGGGAATTTTCTGGCTAATGACTAAGCTAGGATTGTCATATGGTAATGCAGACCAGCTCCTAAACTCACCTGTGCAGCTCAACACAAGTGTATCTCAAACATAGCAACACACTCTGCAGCAAGACACAGGCGTAGTAGGCTCTGCATAATTAAGCTTATTACCACTATTAACAGAACGACAAGACTCACAGAACGGAATACAGTCCTTATCAGACTACTTCACTGAAAACACAGATTTGAAGCAACGAAATAAAGTTACCAACTATAAAAATAATAAAACATATAATGGCTATACTTCAACTAACAATAGTATCCTTTAGTCAGTGCGGTGTATCAGTTGGTATGTGAGGATGACTGCTTAGCCTCTCCAGCTAAACAGTGTGCTGATTACGCCTCAACGTTCTCAGAGTTGCACGCTGCCTACTGGTGCTATTTCAGAGGTTCTGCTCCTGGAACCAGCTCAAGCGCTGGAGACCTTGCTCCTGTAAAACACAACTGAATACTTCCAATACTCATTTTCTTAAGAATTGTTCTGAACCACTTATTCCTGGAATGGGTCTGCTTAATGCTGTATTCCTTGCTGAAAGCATTCCACGCTTTCTGAATGCTTCTTGCTTACAACCTTCTTACATGGCTTTATTTTTGCTTTCCAAATTTCATTTTTGTTTTAAGGGTACAATCTCATGTCAAGATCCGTATTTAGTTTGCTGGAAGTTGCATGTCATGTGCTGACTTTATGAAGATGCAACAAGAAACTGATTTACAATTAGGTTTCCCATGGTTACTCAGTTCTAACACACACAGAGATTTTTGTAACTGTATCACAAGTCCACTGTTACACACGCCAAGGCTTATATCGGCAGTGACAGTATTATACTCTGTATTGTAAAATTGTTTTCTGAAGCAGAGACTCATGTTGGAAAGAAAAATATATTGGCAGGCTTAAACAGAATTAAAAACTCAACAACTAAGCCTTAGTAATTGAAAGAAGCCTGATCCTCAGATGTCAGGAAAAAACTCAACTGATTACTTATCTATTTTTTTTTTGTGTTAAGACAATGAAGTTCAGCAAAAATTTCAATCCTCCTCTAAAGAACACCAGGTGAATATCCCAGACACTTGGAATGAAGAACCTAGGTAACACCCGTAGAAATCACTAGGTTTATATTGAAACACTTGATTAAATTTGCTTTTAAAAATCTCTAATGGTACAGAGCTGTGTACTTAGTCTTACTGCTGTTTACAGCACAAAACTGTACAGAAATATAAAAAGAAGTAACATTTCATCAAAGGTCACAACAAGCAACTGAGTAATCTTTTTAATGTCAGAATAGCAGCAGCAAAAGACACACACACACAAATCTCACCAGCTTTGGCAGGCTCTGGCAATCTTCAGCAACACAGTACTTCTGGTACGTCATGAAGGAAGAAAGTGACATTCCACCAAAATACAGGTCGATGGACAATTTGCCCCATGGGTTATCTGGTAATTCCTACTTACACAAGACAAAATAAGATTGTAACAGTAATAGCATGATTGAGGTTTTAGAAGGAGTGACCAGGAAATTCAAACCTGTCATTGCTGTATGCACCATACTCCTTCATCAAAGATACAAAACCAGTTAGGATGGCTATTAACATCAGTTATGACACAAATGGGAATGTATTGCTGGAATAGCTGCACCGACTACTCAGTTTAACACCAAAACATTATCCCATGTTTGCTCACAGAACAACAAACCCTTCTCTTTCACAATATATCATTAGAAATTAAACTATCTGAAATTGCAGGTTTTCAGACAATAAAGATTATATGTTTCCCTATAATGTTAATATATTAATTTAAGCATGTCCGTACTCAATTATGCTGAATTTTAATCACTTAAAATTGAATTTAAGAGAATTTATGCTCTTCGTAGGTAGGTTCTTTGTCAGAATGACAAGACAGAACACAAACAGGACCAAAAAATATAAATACCTCTAAAGGACACATTTAAGGCCTGGAAAATATAATAATGATAAAGTCACAGGAGAAATAACTTTAGCTTTGGATTTTGTTTTTATCTAAGAAATACATTTACTGCTATACTCCTTCACCTATTATTCTTAATGCAAAAGGAAAAAAAAAAAGAGAACAAAAAGTAAGCCTCATTCCATGTCTATGAATAAATTAAGCTACCTGAACATGTACTTCAACCTCTTTATCTGTAAGTAGTTCTTGAAGGCAATCTAATGCATCCTTCTGCCAAAAATTTCCAACCTATTTGGTGAAAAGCAAGAAACCCCCATTAAGATACTAACAAGTAATATAGTAAGATGAAAACACGTGCCTATCATTGAAAAATTTATTTGAAAACACACATCATTAGTTTGATTTGCCTACAACAGTTTAAACATTTTCTGCTATTTGGTACACTAAAACTTACTGTGTGATAAAGCTGACCAGCAATTTTCTGATTTTGAAGTGGCTTAGAAAGAGATGCTGCTTGCCAAGTCTAACTTTTACTATATTATATGCATAATAATATATATGGGCACAATTACTCAAAGCACAACCCAAAGATACAGAATTACACTTGAAGATAACTTAACAGACAACAGAAAATAAAGGATACTTTAAATACTCCTTTTTTTCCCTGCAGTATCTGTTTGCCTCCCAAGCTGTAGGCTTATAAGTCTGTCTGTCTGTCTTAATCGAACTGCTTCCAACAATAAAAATGTTTTCTTTAAAAATAAGTGTCCTAGTTTTAGCTGGGACAGAGTTTTTAACAGCTAGAAGAGCTCCGTGTTTTGGTTTTACTCAGAGGCTCGCTCTGAGAAGAATGCTGATAGCAAGTTGATGTTTGTGGTTGGACGTGAGACTCCAAGGACTTTTCAGTGTGCCGGAGTGCAGAAGCACGGCAGGATAAGGGGGGAGCATAGTTGGGACAAGGGGGCCACGATTCCCCTTGTGATTTGTGGTGGAACTTAAGACTGAGGGCCAAACTGGCCAATTAGTATTCCATATCGTGCAGCGTCATGCCCAGTATAAAAGTGAGGGTCAGCCAGAAAGAAGGGCTTTTGCACTTTGGCTCTTTTGCGCTTTTTGCTCTTTTGTGCTTGCTGCGCTGTTGCTCTGTTGTTTTTTCTTTCTTTTTTTCTCTCTCTCCCAGTACTCCCACTCTCGGAGTACTATCTCTCCCTCTCTGCCCCTCTCTATTTCGGGGCCTCGCATTCGTCCGGGATTGCAGCTTCGGGACAAGACGGGCTTCGCATACGAGGGGGTGGTGAGCATCTACACTGTGTATTAAATCATCTGTATTAAATCATTCTTATCTCAACCCCACGGGTTTCCCGTTTATCCTTTAATTCTCTCCCTCATTCCTGGGGGTGGGGGAGAAGGAGTGACCAGCTGTGTGTGGGGGGCGGTTCAACCTAACCCACGACAATAAGTTTAAAAGTAAGCTAGTCATTTCAGTAATTCACATTTACTAAATGCACCATTCAAATTTGAATAAGATATGATGGTATATGAAGATGTCATTTATGCATCAATTACTAACAAAACCCCCTAAAACAATTCATTTGTATTGGTTCAGCATAACAGATTGCTTCCTACGCAGCTAAATTCAGAATGATAGAAACGCTTTTGCAGGACTTGAAGATTTACAATTTTCTGGCCATTTTGCATGAAGAAATCCAGGCCTTAGTTCTTGTTGCTGCTATTGCAAAAGGAATTACCACTTCAGAGTATCATTCTGCCAACTACTGCAGTGTTCTGTCTTACAAAGATTTAATTCCAATGGCAACTGTTTTTGAAGCGTGGTCACTTCATAAAGCAATGAGGCACTTCCTGATGAAAGGCTGCCTTGCTGAAACGATCCTCATCAGCTATTCTCTGAATCCTCCAAGGCAAGAAAAAATACCAGCAAATAGTCTCAACCACTGTATGACTAAACAGCACACCGATTTGAGTAACTACCTACTAAAACATCTTCAAATTTACCATTACTCACTGGTACTGTCTTGTAGAGCTGACATGGTATGCAAAATGGTGGAATATCAGTATACAATGTTGTTGGATATAGGTGACACGGAGGAATCTTCTCTGTGTAACCATGGTCTATGTACTGTACCTATAGGAGAAGAAAAGGTTTCCTGAAATAATTCCTGGTTTTGGAGTCAAGGTTAAGAAGAGAAAGAGTCCATTTACAACATTCACTTTTCTGGAGGAAAACAATGTTTTGCTGATAAGTAGGTGATGCGACAAAGTGGAAACGAAAGATTAAAAAACTGGTACGGCAGATTAGAAGTTCAGTTTCTATACTTGTCTTGCAACAGATCCTACCTTTTTTTGTAATAACCTATAGCAGTTTAAAATTGAAAGAAATAAAAAATTTATGAATTAGCATAGTGTCAGATTTGCAGATCTACATTCAAAAAGCAGGAGCAGACTCAAAAGTTTAGATAAGATTAACTGCTTGCTAATTAGAAAAAGTTGCTCTATATCTGTGTAGCAGATAGAATTCAAAACAGCCAGCCACTACTTTTTAGGTAAGGACAGGGTCGGGGGCAGCTAAACCTAAGTATTTTCAATGCATTCCACATATGATAACAACAACAAAAGAAGAAAAATCCTAAAAGGGATTACCTACAGATGATCAAGGGTAGGTTTTTACTTAAGAACATTTATCATCACTAAGAAAACTATGGGAAAAATTGTGACAACTGACATAGGCAGATACAATTCATTTTCAAAATAAATGTAAAAATCAAGACAGTTAGCACTTTCAAGCAGAATGAGCATCTAGATAGTCAGGTCAGCTAAACGAAAAGGTGTGATTGTGTTTATTTTAGAGGATTAGATTATTTGCTGTCCCACCCTTTTTTTTTTTAACATACATGTGCCAATGTTCATGCACGCGCACACACACACACCCACCCCATAGAATCAAACTTACCTGGACAGCGCTACCACTGAGTTCTACAACTTTACCTCGATACCACATGGTATCTGATCCTCTTACAACACAAGCTTCTCCCTTTCTCCAGCAGTAGGGTTGCAGAAGACCAAGGCATTTGAAGTTATTTTGTATTTCAGTCATCAATTTGTTTAGCCCAATTTCTGTGGACAGAGGGTGAGAAATAAAAAAAACCCTCAAAATAGTCTGTAACATATTAGCATAAACTATTTCAATCACTAAAACCCAACAAATCCAGATAAAGACACATATAAACATAAAATACATCTGCTGCTAAAAAAAATGTTTTCCAACACTCACACAATACTAGTATACTTCTAGTATATGCAAACAAGTTAGTACTTAAACAAAAAGTAAACTGCATTTCCAATTGTGAAGCCATTAGTAATTCTGGATTCTAATCTCAGAGGAGAAGGATCTTCAAATTTTTTTGCAGTTGACACCTTGGCAGCACCAATACAAGAGCCTCTCCATGAACAATACAACAAACTCCCAGAGAGAGTGATAGGATATCATGAAGTAACACAAAAGAGGTGTCCAGAAGATCCTCTTCTGCAGTGGGTACAGTCTGCAGCAACAATTGCAAGAATACAGCCTGGGACAAGTGGGGTTGTTGTGCTTTGAATGTTAAAGTTTATGATATGATCCACCAGTTAAACGTACTTGTAGAGTAAAAAAAAAAATAAATTTCTCAAATGGAAGCTTTTCTCTAAAGCACAACATATTACCATGGTACTAAAGACTTGACACTGCATCTGTCAGATGAAAATGTACCTCTTTCAAACCATACAACCAAAAAATATTAAGAGACAGAGAATCTATCCCAGTACAAATAAAGAGCCCAAGGAAATTGGGTACTGGGCTCACACTGAAGGAAAAAAAATCCAGCAGTATTCGAGAACCAGCTGAACTTTCAAGAATCTTTAGGACTGTGTCTTCACTATTATTAGTAAAATGTAAGAATCTCAACACTATAAAATAAAGCACTCGCTGCTTTACCCAATACTGTCTAGACAAGCAAGTCACCTGCCCCTCCAAGCACCTGGGGTTGTTTTTGATTTCTTGGGCAGGTGGAAGGCCAGAAGAGCCCATGTGGGTGGCTTCAAGGACAGGGCACCACCCGTTGGGGATCTGGGTTTCCTCTGCCAGGAAGCTGCGGGACCTCTCCCCACCGCTGCAGAGAAAGGGGTGCATGGGCACAAATCCCTCGCCCCTCAAGCCAAAGGCCTCATCACCTCCCAAAAGCAATCCCCCTCTCCCCGAAATCTTCCAGAACCGTGTTCTGATACAGATCATGTATACTAGAACACGTATCTTGTACATTCTGATATACCAAAGGTATAAATGTATTTTCTTCTATGTAATCTTACCAAATGATTTTGGTATTATATAAATAGTTCCATCATGTCCAACGCAACTTACTACAGCTTGAAAAATTTTCACTTTAGGTATAATGGGAGATTTATATATTTCATCCATTTCTGAATGAAGCGGTGCCTCGTATGTTTTGCATGATTTTTGTTCACTCTCTGAAGCAGTGATGTTTTCCTCTGGAGCAGTGCTGGTTTTTCCACATACAGTTTCTGAATTACAGTCATCCAGTCGTCTGTTCTCTTGCTCTAAATGCACTTGAAGATGTTCCTTGGGGTCTGAGCAAGCCACACCAGCTTCATCAGTTCTAGTAGATTCAATCGCATCATATCAATATATTAATTGATAAAGAACGTGGAAAGTTCAAGAGAATAAAATAATAGAAGTAAAAAACCAAACACACAAAGATGGCAAATGCTTGTTAAAATACCGTCAATCTTCTTATCTACCAACTTAAAGAACTGAAACCTGCAGTGGATACAATTGATAATATTATACTCAAATTTAACTTCACTAAAGCTGGGAGTTCTGTTGCCACACATGTTGTAGAGGACAATCCAAATTTTTGTTTTACCTATTAGCTTATCACAATGTGAATATGAGAGCCTGAAAGAATATGAAAAGAAAAGTATCCAAACCTTCTGTTTCTAAAAGCCAAACCCTTTTTAATAAGGTGTTCTGAAATATCAATCAATTGTCCTGTTTCATCATTGCAAAGAATCTTCACAGGCAATGCACAACCCACGTCACTTTCCTGGAGAAAAATGAGAGAGCGGGACAACATATTACAATACGCATTTCCTCTAAACTTCAGGCGTATTTTTCATTTTCTCGGTACTGACTGCAAATCAGATGTTGTTGAACAACTGATGCCCACATCAGAAGACACAAAATCTATTTAAACCATGGCAAAGTTCCCATCGTTTCACCAACTCCTCTAAGCATGACATTAAAAGAAAAGTAACAGAACAAAACCTTGCTTCATTTCTGTCCTGGTTTTAGCTGGGACAGTTAGCTCTTCTTTTTAGCAGCTAGAAGAGCTCTGTGTTTTGGTTTTACTCAGAGGCTCGCTCTGAGAAGAATGTTGATAGCAAGCTGATGTTTATAGTTGGCACTGAGGTCTCAAGGACTTTTCAGCTTGCCGTGTTCTTGCCAGTGTGCAGGAGCACAACAGGATAAGGGGGGAGCATGGCCGGGACAAGAGGTCCACAACTCTCCTTACGATTTGTACTTGGACTTAAGATTGAGGGCCAAACTGGCCAATTAGCATTCCATATCATGCAGCGTCATGCCCAGTATACAAGTGAGGGACAGCCGGACAGAAGGGCTTTTGCGCTTTGGCTCTTTCGCCGCTTCTGCTCTTTTGCGCTTGCTGCGCTTTTGCTCTATTGCCTTTTTCCCCCCTCTCTCTCCCAGTACTCCCACTCTCGGAGTACTCTCTCTCTCTCTCCGCCCCCTCTATTTCGGGGCGTCGCGTTCGTCCGGGATTGCAGCTTCGGGACGAGACGGGCTTCACATACGAAGCGGTAGTGAGTATCTACCCTGTGTATTAAATCATCTGTATTAAATTGTTCTTATCTCAACCCACGGTATCCCATTTATCCTTCAATTCTCTCCCTCATCCCTGGGGCTGGGGGAGGGTGAGTGAACGACTGTGGGGGGAGCGGTCTGGTTGCTGGAGCGGCCTAACCCACGACAATTCCTTAGCTGTTTTATTAGAATGAACTGCCAAATACTTGTTTTCCTCTACCAGGAGCTTTAAAGCCACTCATAAATAACTTTGCTCATCAGTGCTTTTATTTCTAGACACACTGTAAAACTTCACCGGCAGCTGCCAACAGACACTAAACAAGTCAAACACTCATAATAATTCCTTTTTTTTTTAACTAGTAGAAGACATGCATACAGCATAAGACATGTTCTTTCAGTTTCTGAGGCTCAAAAACTAATATGGCAGCTGCTGAAACTATTCTCATCAACAACATGAGATTCTTGCTCATCTGCCCGTAACAGTTGTCAGCATCTAGTGGTCCCAAAGATGTAAACACTACTCTTCAGTAACTAAATATATCTAAGACTGTGTTCTTTGCACACTGAGTAGCCAAACACCTCTAATGCTCCAGTGAATAACAAAAATAAAGCAGAAAAAAGAAAAAGCATCCTTCTCCGTACAGCAAACAGCAATCTAAGCAAGTTCCGCTCAGGACTACTTTGAAGAGTGAAAATATTCAGAAAAATATGAAATTAACAGACAACTTGACAGAAATTTTACAAATACCACTGGTTTTGACTACAAACCTCTATGATTATTTTTACTTGTGCTCCGGTTAGGTAATAGGATAAACATTCACACACCGTTGCTGTCCACTGTGTGCTTCCACCTGTTGGTCTAACATAGAACAAATTATAATCTCCTTTAGTACAAGAGAAGTTGGCATCTCCTGATCCTAACCACAAACCCTTCCCTTCACTGAGTTTTGATTTTCTTGAAACTGCCTTTACTGTCAGGGAAAAAAGACCATCTCCATTACAGTCAACAGTCAAAAGAAATGGTTATTCATCTCTGGATCTATATCTATGAAGCCAGGCTGACAGAGTTGGGGTTGTTCAGCCTGGAGAAGAGAAGGCTCCGGGGAGACCTTCGAGCAGCTTTCCAGTACCTAAAGGGGGCCTACAGGAAAGCTGGAGAGGGACTTTCTACAAGGGCATGTAGTGATAGGACAAGGGCCAATGGCTTTAAACTGAAAGAGGGGAGATTTAGACTAGATGTAAGGAAGAAATTTACAATGAGGGTGGTGAGGCACTGGAACAGGTTGCCCAGAAAAGTTGTGGATGCCCCATCCCTGGAAGTGCTCAAGGCCAGGTTGGATGAGGCTTTGAGCAACCTGGTGTAGTGGAGGGTGTCCCTGCCCATGGCAGGGGGTTTGGAACTAGATGGTCCTTAAGGTCCCTTCCAACTCTAACCATTCTATGATTCTATGAGCTATATGACAGGAAAAATTCCAAAATATAATGCCAAAACTTCAAAACTGAGGAGGATAACGAGTTTCAGAAATTTGACACCTGTCTTAACAGAACAAAGGAAAATCCATACTTATCTACAAATTGGGCTTTTTATATTCATTCAGGGAATGGGTATTACAAACATGATTATTTTTTCTTCAAGCACAGACAGCACACAAACAAATGCACAGGAGAATACCCTGCTTCTCTCTTTTTTCTATAGTCTAGAAAAGAGATCTCCTGTGCATTTTCATGAGATCTAACTCATCTGAAATTCTGAGTCAAGAAAAAAAGCATTCAGAGAATTAAGAAAAACCTCTGTCATCTGTCCAGTATTTTATAATTCACCCTATAAATATTGTTTCTTTCTATAGCATGATTTCTGTGTTACTGATATGTAGCGGAACTCTTAGGAAAAAAAAACCTTTATAAAACAGTCACAGCCACCACCCCAATTCTTCTCTATTCAAAAAGCAAACCACATCCAAATCTTCAATAATCAATGCTAACACTGGAAAATATGGTTATGTCATTATTAGGTTTCTAATACTGCTATTCAGTATAAGGCAAAGGCTACCTTACATCTGCCAAGGAACATTCTATTGCTAATGTACTGATTATCTTCATATTTTCCTCAAGTTTTCTTAGACAGCTGATATCCACTGTTTTTTCAGCTCCATAATCATAAAGTATTACCTGTTATAGAGAAGAACCACAATGAAACAGAAAAAAAACCCTCTCTTAGTGTTATCTGTAACAAATGCTAATTCAAAGCATGCCTGAATAGGTTAAATAAAATCCAAACAAACATCACCAGGATTCAGCGAGTGACCTTCGCACTGAAGTACTCCATCACCCAACACGAACGACTACCAGTGTACCAGGCGAACACACAAATGTGCTCAAAGGGAGTTAAACAACTTTACAGAGACTGTTAATTGAATAAGAAAATTGTTTTTCCCCTGCTTCAGTTATGTTGGCGCATTTAAATTTGTAAACCTAGAAACTGAGGGCCACAAAGATGATGAAGGGAGTGGAGCATCTCCCTTATGAGGAAAGGCTGAGGGAGCTGGGTCTCTTTAGCTTGGAGAAGAGGAGGCTGAGGGGGGACCTCATTAATGTTGATAAATATCTAAAGGGTGACTGTCATGAGGATGGAGCCAGACTTTCTCACTGGCATCCAACGATAGGACAAGGGGAAATGGATATAAGCTGGAACACAGGAGGTTCCGCTTAAACATGAGGAAGAACTTCTTCCCAGTAAGGGTAACAGAACACTGGAACAGGCTGCCCAGAGAGGTTGTGGAGTCTCCTTCTCTGGAGATGTTCCAAACCCACCTGGACGCATTCTTGTGTGATCTGATCTAGGTGGTCCTGCTCCGGCAGGGGCATTGGACTAGATGATCCTTTGAAGTCCCTTCCAATCCCTAACATTCTGTGATTCTGTGAAATGCTGAACCAGCTCCCCTCCACCCCTTGCTTTTTATTCCGACACGGTTAAACAGTTGTTTGAGGGCTCTTAGCCTTAGAAAGCAGATGATGCAAACCAGAAGTATAGAAAGTCTCACTTCTGCTTCACACTAACAAGACCCACAGGCACAATCTGATGATGGTAGAGAGAACTAACGGTAATCCAGTGCCAGATTATCTGTATGATTAGAAAGCCAGTCTTACTTTTGAGGTAGGTAGTTATCTATTCACGACATGCCTCTTGTGATGCTCCTTACTCTTTTCAAATGAGTGCAACAAAACACGTTTAAAGCATCACTCTGTGAGAAGTTACTGTGGAAAATGTTACACCTACACGGCACAGGGCATCACCATCAGTTTAGGGTTCAAGGAACAGCATGACTACATGTGTTCCTATGGCGCTGCACTCAGTTCAACTGGTTCCATCTTTCAGCAAGTATCATTAAGCTTGAATTAATGTGATCCTCATGTTCACACAGCTTCTGGAACATAAGCTAAACTGTTAGGCTATAGCTTGGCAATCTGTGCTATGTTGCAAAGTGTAGCATAGACATACACAAAGTCAACCTCATGAGCCTTCTTCAACCACCAGGTTCTCCGTGAAAAGCATCTGAGCTTTTATGAGACAGTAATCTTATTTGCAGCAACGTACAATATAAATGAAACTCCTGACAAAAGCAAAAGGCCATATGAGAAATACTAACACAGAAGTAAGAAGCAAAGATTAGACACTATTTTAATCAATGAACGCTTACGAACTTTAGAAATAAAAGCATGAACACTCTTATGGTAACAGGTTTACCTCTGCACTCGTTTTAGAGACAATCCTGCTTATTTGACCTCTTTGCCACTGTTTCAAATCATGTACATAAACAGCACAGTGCATACTCCTTTCCCACTTCACGGACTGTGGCTGGGATTCTTTGTAGAAGGTAGCCATCTTCTCCTGCAAACTAACATTCAAAAAAAGCTTTTCTTGTGGTAAAATTTTATCCAGTGAATAAAGTGTTTATTTAATCCATTACTGCTTAACTAGCATACAGTAAAGTTTTAGTAACTGTTAAACAGACACGTAACACTGTAGTTTTTCTTCATGACATGTTAGGAATACATGAAATGGAGCTTCAAAACACAAGCAATCTGGTTAAAATTCTGGAAAACTATCATGTTTTTGTAAACAACGGAATTAATCTGAGCGATCCTGATCCTTCTGAATATCACCACTTGAAGATGCACTATTTTCTCTCGACAGCTTGAAAGTGTGGTACTCATTCAGTGTCATGACTAATTCAATGGGACTCTAGGTAGCTACATGAAAGAAAGGAGAAATAAGAGGCAGAAAATAGGTGACTTGCACTAAACAATGATATTTCTATCCAACTGTCTTCGAACAGTACACACTATTACCTAAATGTTACCTAAGTATCTACCAAAGGAAAGTTGATACACTATGTCTAGAAATAGTCTTCCAACTTTCCTAACAGCATATCAGAATCATGTTGAAAGAAATAACTTCATTGAAGTTCTATGACTTAGGATACTGGTATTATTTACTAAGATTTCTAATGAAGGAATGAGGAGAAGAAAAGAGCGAGAAGAAAGATTTAATCTTCTTGGACAATGTTGCATTTATCAGTCCTCAATACCACTACATTAAAACTGGTATGAAACAGGAGCTAGATCATGTACTTAATTTGGAATCACAAATATTTAATAAACCACAACGCAGTGCCAATTGGTCTTCTATTCCTATACTTTCTTCAACAAAGCAAGTCAACAGCATTCAAAAGAGTACTCCGTGCTAAATGCAACCCTAATCAGTTTGTTCTAACTATACTTCACCAGTTTGTAGTAAAACTGCTTTAAGTTGAGAAAAGTTCTTTGCATTTTAGTACCTTTTCAGTATACTTTCTGATGACAGCCACTGTATAAAAATTTTACTAGGAGACACAACGTGAGTAATTCTCGCTTGTAGCTCTTTCTTAGGCAGTGATTCAAAATCTCCTTCATCCACAGATTCCATGTCTATAGGATTTAACGCTTCCAAGGTTTCAGGAATTACTTCTGAAGGAACATCCCATATTTCATCAGGCCTTACAGCAGTAATTTCAGTGGACCTGTAAAGAGCATAAAGTAATTAGAAAGGAAAGTTTAAACACATTTTAAACAAAATGAAAAAGAGCTCAATAATCATAGTTCAACAGGACAGGAATAATTCAACATGAAGGAGAGTGAAGAATAACAAATAACTTAGGAAAAAATCCCACCAAAACATAAAAACATTTCTAAATACTATTTCTGAAACACTCATTATAGTAACTTGTTTTTCTTCTCCTTCAGAAGGTATCCTTGCACATTCTACTAACAGACGAAAGCACTATGCAATATAGGCTGCCAGCAGAAAAGCAAGCCTGACACAAACAGGCTTCTGAGCATTAATGTTTATGTCTGGCTTAAAAGTCATCAAATCACTAGTATCATGCTTCTGGAAACCAATGTTGCCTCCGAGTGAAAGCTGCAACATTCAGCTTCTAAGATGTGTAAACATTCATTTCAGAAGTAAAGAATATTAACATTTGTGAAACGTTTACCATTCCAGCATTCCCTGAAGACACAAACACAACACACTGGTGCTAGAACTTTCCTAAGTAGAGTTACGGTCATGATAATACCTCAATGAAAACTAGTTTAAATTGTGTGAACTGGATAGAACAAAGTTAAGTTGCTAAGCCACTATCCATCATATTTCAGAAGTCGTGGCAATCTGGTGAAGTTCCCAATGACTGGAAAACGGGAAACATAACGCCCATCTTTAAAAAGGGGAAAAAAGAAGACCCAGAAAACTACAGGCCAGTCAGTCTCTCCTCTGTGCCTGGCAAGATCATGGATCAGATCCTTCTGCTGACTATGCTAAGGCACATAGAAAACAAGGAGGTGATTGGTGATAGCCAACACGGCTTCACTAAGGGCAAATCCTGCCTGACTAATTTGGTGACCTTCTATGATGAGGTTACAGCATTGATGGATAGGGGAAAAGCAACTGACATTGTCTACCTGGACTTATCCAAAGCATATGATACTGTCCCACACAACATCCTTATCTCTAAACTGGAGAGACGTGGTTTTGATGGATGGACCACTTGGTGGATAAGGAATTGGCTGGATGGTTGCACTCAAAGAGTTGTGGTCAACAGTTCAATGTCCACGTGGAGGCCAGTGACGAGTGGTGTTCCTCAGGGGTCGGTACTGGGACCAGTGCTATTTAACATCTTTGTTGGCAACATGGACAGTCGGATCGAGTGCATCCTCAGCAAGTTTGCAGA